CCGACGATCAAGTTAGAGAGATGAAGTGGCGGTTGTTCTGGGCGTCCAGTCTGCCCTCTTCCCTCTGGCTTGAGGACGTTTATAGGGGAACTCGGCATTATCGGGCGCGCCATCCCGTCGGTCGGGGTCGTATCTCTGATGGCGTCCGACATCGCCGAGGATGTTGCGTATGGGATCGGGGAATCGCAGGGTATGGGCGAGCTTCAACCGCTACCTACTTTTGTCTCGTCCTACTGTGCTGGGTTGACTGAGGGGCTGTGGGCCCAGTGAGGCTGACGTCCGGACGCAGACCGTTGCCCTCGTTGCTCTCCCTGGGGCGCCGTGCCTGTCCACGTGCGGGGGGCGTTGCCGGGAGTGGGGTTTACCATTTTTTGCCATATCAGGTTGAAATGGCTGCATTAATTGGGAAGCCTCCATGCAAGCAAGTAGGAATAGGCTGATGGAAGACTAAATCTCCAACAATACTTGAAGATATTATTTGTGCAACAACATCCCTGTTGGTCTAACCACGTACTCGGTTAAGAACATATGATGATACTTCAAAACAATGTAAATGAATAAAATATAAATAACTTGATGTCGGAATACAATAAAACGATATTTAGGTGTTTTATATTTGTTCCATGCACGATAGTCCGTCTTTTTCCTTGAAAAAAAGAAAGTAAAGTAAACCTATACCTCTCCTCTTGTACTTGACTTAGAAATGCTTAAAGTAAACCTTAGCCTTATGAGCTTTTACAAATGCCTGGAACAAAAAATAATACTTGGTCATCAAATACATCTAGAAAATACATAATAAGACCAAACAAATGCCATCCATAATGAAAGAAAATGATAATAAAATACAATCTGGTACCTTACCTACATGGTCTGATGTGGTACGATAAGTTCTTTGGAGAAGACTGGATTCTGAAACATATCTAATTTTAGATTTGGAGTTTACTAAAATAGCTGGTAGGAAGGTGGATGATTAAGAGATCCTCTACAATTTAGTTTGTAGGAAATATTTAGGTTTTATTTTGTTAGAATGACAGGACATGCTCGACACAACTGCAATTTGATGCGTCAACTACTGCCGGAATCATATGGTGTCTAAGGATGTTCTGAACAGTTAAACGAAATATTATTAATTTTATCTCAATCTACTCTAATCGTAGTATAAAATATTCCAAGGTAGGAGAACGTACGCTGCTCCGCTGGTTAAAGTCGCAGCTTCGGGCAACCTTTAACATCAACGACTGGTAGTAGTTTAAGCTCCTCTGGCATGGATGACAGAGCTCTGCAGCCATATATAAATAAAGAATTCAGAAGATTGAATCCTTGCAGCCACTCTGGCAAAAAGTCCAAATTCTCACATCCAATAATTCTCAAGCTGTCGAGTTTAAAACATCGTTCCATGTCCCGTGGCAAACACCTCAGCTCTTGGCATCCAACTATCTCCAAGTCTCTTATATGTTGGAGGTTATGCCAACCTTTGAATTCAGATGTCTGCAGCATCTTATTGTTCAACCAAATACTCAATCTTGAGACCCTGAGTTGCACCTCTAGAGCTTTGAATTTTGGACATTGGATTAGTGTCAATTCATAAAGTTCCGAAAACAAAAATTCTTCTCTCCCAACTTTTAGCCATTTTTCCAGTGCAGGCATATGAGAGAATGTGACTTCTCTCAACTCCGGAAATGTCCCATTGTCACCGTAGAATGTTTCATCTATAATATTGATTAAATCCATACCACTTATTTCAATAATCTCGAGACTGAGTAGTTGTCCAAGTGACGGTAGCATTTTACATCTCTTGAGATTGATTAGTTTGATCTCTTTCAACCTGTGGAGATAGTAAAACCCCTCTTTTATCCATACGGGAAATTCCTCGTCTGCATATAAAATAATCTCTAATTTTTTCAAGTTTGAATTGGGTTGAAGGCGTTCAAGTACCTGCAACCAAACTGGTTAGGAGGTTCTCATGTCAACCATATTGTTCCATTTCCAATGTAGCTTTAGATATATGAGTTGTGGAAGTATATCATACAACTTTAAAGGAGTCGAAGTATCTTCTGAATTTGACACTTGTTCGAGATTTTGTAACCATAATTCTTTTAGATTAATCAATGATTGTAACTCCGAGAAGGCATTTCCAATATCACCAATTATGATATATCCAGACAACTTCAGGAGATTACTTATCTGACTTATTTTATGTAGCATTTGATTTAATGGACATCTATACACATTGAGGTTTGTCAGCTTTCTCATATTACTCAAACCCTCAGGTAATTCGACAAGCCATTGACAACCTTCCAAATCTAGCTCTTGTAGATTTACAAGACCGGTGACCGAAATAGGTAGCATTTGAAGCTTTGTACAATAAGCTAGTTTTAAAACATGCAAATTCTCGAGATTATGTATTTGCCTCGGAAGATTTTGAAGCTTTTCGCAATGAGCCAAATTTAAGATTTGTAAATTCCTGAGCTTGCATAAGGATTTAGGAAGTGCTTGGATCTCAGACTGGGCAAGGTTGAGGTATCTCAAGATTAGCAACTTGTCCATTGTATCAGGTAGCTGCTGGACTTTGATAGCTCGTAAATGTAATATACGTAGATGTATGAGGCTGGTAAATATACCTTTTGGAATACGTAGGATATGATATTTGTGTTGGAGATCCATTTCCTTTTGTTGTAATACCAAACCTCTCAAATTGTTGACCCCATCGGATAAGATTGTCGGAAATGTGATGGTATTGGAATCGACAAGCATACGTAAATAGAGACATTGTTGTGGGATTGTTGAATTTGAATCAACCTCCGTCAAGAAATAGCAATGCTCCGTGGCAGCAAATGAAAAATCAAGGTCGAGGGTCCTCACATATTCCCTTATCATCACTTCGACGTCGTCTGACGAAAACAGCAGAAGGCCTTCAGCAGCTAACACATGGAAGAAGTCTTTATAATTGGCCATGTCATCTTGTACAATCAGCCAGTGGTACAACATTAATCGTGTCCATTTACGTGGCATGTAATAAATTCTAATAAAATTCGTATCCGAAGCAGAAATTTGTTGTTGCCATCGATTCATTTCGGTATATCTGAAAACGGAGCCATACATCTTGGCGCCTGTGGGAGTCCCATAAATTGAATCATAGTCTGTCCTACAGAATTGACGTATCGCGTTTGCTTCCTCCTGTTGATCAGGCCGGATGAGTGCTTGTCTCATGCACAATTCTACCCAAGCATCCTCCGATAGGTACTCCAAGGGATACGGTCGGATGGAGGACCCCAATTTATGGTCACTAAAATGCAAGTCAGGAATGACCACCGCGGTACTCCCCGGTGCGCCGACGAGCAATAGAAAGTTCTCCAATTGGAGCCACTTATCCTTGTCCTCCTCCTCGACGTTGAGATCATCCAGAACGAGGAAGTATTTGCTTTCATGGACTCCATCGTAGAATAGCCAGATGTCCTCGCACGGTTCCCCGGTTATTGATCTCGTGAATTCTCTCATGATCCACATGGGATCCAAAGAAGCAATGCTTGGGACATCCACCCAGATTCGATGCTGGAAATGGTCGTGCACCCAGGAGTGGTGGTAAATCAACCGACCAAGGGTCGTCCTCCCATCACCGCCTTCTATGAGCAGCCATTCAACACAATCGCCAGACTGTTGTTGCTGCAAAATGTCGATGATTTTTTCTACATCCTCGTTGCGTCCCACCACCTCTTCTCTTAGGACGGTGGAGTACTCTTCTTCTTGTCGTGGATCCACAGACTCCATTATCTCCTTTGAGAGGCCCAACACAGACCCCCTCCTCACCAGACAGTTCAGCCTGCGCACCATCTCCTTGAGCTCCGATAGAATGGCTCGGCGAGAGGCCACTCGGATGCTGCAGATGGAGTGTGACAAGCGATTCGATGCTGCAACCGCTCCTCCTCTTGGATGCCAGTCAAGGATCCTACCGAGCAGATCGTCGACGTCCACAATGGCTGCACCGACGTCGGTCACCCACTCCTCCAACTCCGGCTCCTTCAACGCTCGAAGCTGAGCGTCCAAGATCGTGCCATTGATAGCCCAGAGGCGATCTCGAATCATCTCCATGTGGTTTGGCATGCCTAGTAGTCATCCCTGCACCATCATCGCAGGCATTGGCAGAATATGCAATAGTAAGCGATCCAGATCTAATGCCAACGCCATGGCTTTGATGTCAGGGTTGCGGCCATGGAACTCTAGATTATCAATTGAGCCGTCGACTGGTATTACTCAAACCCACTTGGAATCTACAAAAGTATTTGTGCCTCATAGTTGTTCCTTTTCGTACAACACTTCGTTTTCATTCCAGGCAACCATTAATGATTGATGAAAGTTAATCCGGGTATTAAGACATGCATCAAAATGAATTATCAAGCTACTTGATTTAAAAATAAAAAAATAATGAGAAAATAATTTCTACTGGATAAAGAAAGATTGATGATCAAGACAACGATGTCACACATCGATTGGAGCTACAACCAAAAAATGAACAATGGGCTGAGTTATTTGTGGAGCCGACGGTTATTCGAAAATATTGCTTTTATTCTAGCCTTGGACCAAGCATATCCCCATGCTCAAATCTTTGACAAGAAAAGAGTCATGAAATAATTTAATTGAAGTATTATTGTGTTTGTAAAATTGAGAAACAGAAATGAGATTTCGTTTAATATGAGGTGTAAGTAGAACATCATCGAGTGGTGCCACTGATACAATGACGCTTTTGCAATCTACCTTCACAATCTGTGCAAATAACGAATCAATCATCCAAGCAAGCTCCAAGTAATGCATTCTTCTATGTGGTTAGTTACCTTTGCGTGGGTCTCCTGCAATCTCACAATCTTTGTCTCGAGCGAGCTGTAAAGGAGCAAAAGATGTTGCCTTTGTCTCAAGCGAGCGAGCTGTAAAGGAACAAAAAGAACTTGTGGTCGCCTATGATACTCTACCCCTCGTTCATTCGTCTCTTATTTCTTATCTTCTTTCGTCTGTGTCAAGACACCGAGCAAATGGGTTTCTTTTTCCTTACCGTTTGCCTTTCTTATGCTCCGAGGGAGCATGAACGTACCAAGACAGGTGTGCCAAGGATTCCCTTCCCATGCCACCGGCCGGCAAAGTTTTAGCCCATGCCGGAAGTAGACCATTTTGAGCAAATTTAACTTCTTCCCAAATTTGAAGAGCTTGAAAGAAAGTTTAGATTTGACCGAGCATGTTGAGTGTTTGTCGCATAGATTATTTTATATGCGATTACCTGACGTTCATAAAGCAGTTGAGGAAAATCCTCCTCTGTTGAGGAAAATTCTTCTTTCCAAACATGTATAAATATGAAGTATTGTATATTGTTTCAATCAATGCAATCTTTTCTTTCTATTTCATTACTATCAATGCAATCTCGAAGTAGGTCGGTCTTCTTACTGGACTCCATCGAATCTCGGCTCCTTCTCCTACTGCCTCGTGGACCACGACTCCATCTCAATCGCTCCCCTCTCCGTTGCTGCTCCCACCGTGACCACATCCGGTGTTGCCATCAGATGCGGCATTTTTCCTTGGCGAAAGGCGATAGCAACAGCGACATCTTCCTCCGTCGAGCTCTTATCATTGCGATGTTTTCCACAGACGTCCTCCAGGATCGTTGCATCGGCCTCCTTCGAAGCTGAACAAGGGCCACCATGCCGCGTCCTCTTCTTCTCCCTCTTCTCCTCCCTGCACTGGCAGCATTCTTTACTGCCGCCCTTTCTCTGCCTCTTCCTGCAGAAGCAGAACCGACGCCCTCTCTGCTGCAACCGCAGGAGCCCTCTTTGCCGCAGTAGCCGCAGCAACTACAACAGCAGTGATCTGCTCTTCTCCCAAGTTGTTGTCCCCTGCTCTACCTTCTTCACCTCGACAAGTAACATCCAGAACCATTTCCAAGTTCCCAATTGCAGAACTGTTGCACAGAGACTGCAGAACTATTGCACAGAGATCTGCAGCTTTACACAATATTGATCATTATCAATATTGATCAACAACCCACAATCCATTTGCCACCATAACCCACAACCCATTTACCACCAACATCTCTTCCTCCCATATATTGATACATATCCTCCATATGTCCTCATCATCTATTTCTGATGCTCCCATTACTGCTCTTGCAAGGAACCATAGTACTTTCCCACATATAGGTCTTATCTCCATAAATGCAGTAACCCTCATCCCCTTCAAATTATCCAAAGGTGACAACTACGCATCATGGCATGCTCAATTCTCTAATCTACTATTTGGTTATAATCTTTTAGATTATGTCGATGGCTCTCTTTGTTGTCCACCGATGATGCTCAACATTCTAGGCGCACCCAGTTCAGTACCAAATCCGGACTACAATTTATGGTTATGCCAGGATCGTCTCATCCTTCAAGCTATTCAAGTCTCGATCGTTGGATCCCTTGTCCCACTCATTTCTTCATGTGACACTACTGCCGAAGCTTGGTGCAAGTTGCAAACCACCCTAGCCAATCGTTCCCACACTCGCATGCTTAGTCTCCTGTCCAGTCTCATGACGATAAAACAAGAGGGAAGTATTGTTGCTGATTATCTACATAATATAAAGATTATCATCAAGAACTTGGCCTTGATAGGTCATTCCTTTAGTGATGAAGAAGTTATTGTCCATATCTTCAATGGCTTAGGAGACGAGTACAAGGAATTGGCAGTAGCAATACGCACACGTGATTCACTAGTGTCATTTGAAGAACTATATGATAAGTTGACTGACTATGAGATATATCTCAAGCGTGAGGATAAGTTGCCAGGACTATCCATCACAACTCAAGTTAGTTAAAAATCTAAGAAGAAGAGCAACCGGTACAACAAAACAAATCAACAAAGAGTTGTCTGCCAGCTATGTGACAAAGTTGGCCACTCTACAAAAGTCTGTAGAACTCGACCCAGACTTCCTCCTCAATCGCATTGGCCTCAAGCAAATCTTACAACTACTCCGACTACTGATCAACAAAATTGGATTGTGGACTCTGGCGTATCTCATCACATCACCTCTGATTTACAAAACTTGTCCATCCACAACTATAGTGGAAACGAAGACATCATTATCGGTGACGGTAACGGACTCCCCATTACTTATACTGGTTCTACAAGCACTTCGTTTACGCTAGATGATGTTTTGTGTGCACCCCACATCAACCGAAACCTCATCTCTGTTTCTCAATTCTGCAAACAGAATCATACATCAATTGAATTCTTTCCTAACTCCTTTCTTGTTAAGAATTTGAGTACAGGGGCATCCTTGGTCCGAGGCCAGAGTAAAGACAACATTTACGAGTGATCGTCAAATTCACAAATCACCCAACCCACTGCCTACTCTTCGGTCGCAGCTCCAACTAATGTGTGGCATCGTCGTCTTGGTCATCCCTCAACTTTTATTCAATAAAAATTACTTTCCCATTATTCTCTTCCTATGCTTACAACCAATAATATTATAACTCATTGTGATGCTTGTTTAAGTAATAAAAGTCATAGACTTCCATTTGAAAATTCCTTCATATCTTGCTCTAAACCCCTTGAGGTTATTTACACTGATGTTTGGGGCCCCACTCTAATCACTTTCTTTGACAAATTCAGGTTTTATGTTATTTTCGTAGACTATTTTACCAAATACATATGGTTATACCCTCTTCATCATAAATATGAAGTTTCAACGGTCTTTACCAACTTTCGAAGATTGGTCGAAAACTTTTTTCAGTCTAAAATTAAAACTGCTTACTTTGATGGCGGCGGTGAATATCAAGCCCTCACATCCTGCCTATCTGCTTGTGGTATACAACACCTCAAGTCACCTCCACACACTCCTCAACTCGTCGGCTCTGTTAAATGCAAACATTGATATATAGTTGAAACTAGTCTCACACTCCTACACCAAGCCTCTATGCCACTAACTTTTTGGACAATAGCATTTCAAGCTGCCGTCTACCTCATTAATCGTATGCTCACTCCTGTCCTTGAGTACAAGTCACCATTTGAAAAATTATTTCACAAATCCCCAAACCTTCAAAAACTCAAAGTGTTTGGATGTTTATGTTATCTATGGCTTCGTCCCTATGCCTCACATAAGTTAACATCAAAATTTAAACCTTGCATTTTCATTGGATATTCCCTTGACAATAATACCTTTC